GTGAAGGATCATTTTCTTAACTCAAGTGTCAGATATGGTGTAAAAAAGAAAAAAATAATCTCCATTATCTGCCAAGGGCAAAGTCAGCACCAGAAAAAAGAAAACCAAGAGAGAGCATCCTTCAAGGTCAGAAGACAATGTTACTGCAAACACATACATGCACCAGAGCAAGTGAGAGCAAGAAAGAACACCAGCACAATCAAAAAGATAGAGGCTACAAGCATATATAGATATGCAAAGAGGCGAGCCGAGGTAAGACACTTAGAGTGACAGTGCATGGTTATGGAAAGAAGTTCAACTGAGTGTATTTAAAGACCCAACTGTGCTAAACTTGGATGCCCAGGGGAGAGCAGCAACCTCAACTGAGGACCCCAGCACTTGTCCTGATACTGTCAGCAAAATATATGGTACCCCTGCCAGAAATAGAACAATAACTAGCCTATCAAAATTGTCATAGTAGGAAAGGGTGGTCAGAACAACAGTTTATCATTGTCAATTGTCATACGGAGTTCAGGTGAAGAGAAGAGCACCATTCTGAGATCTAGAAAGAGTACCTCAAAAGTAGAAGATATGGGGTGTGGTAATCCCAGATTAGAGGAGCATGGAATGTCCAGTGGTCAGAGAGCAGCAAGCCATCAAGCATGGTTCACTAGGTCCTAATCTGTCACTCACCAGGCAGTGTGAAGAGCAGACAGATGCCAATGGATAAACCCCAAGATAATGAACACCCTCTGATGCATCACTTGCAGTAAAGCCACGAAGGTGGCTTTACTACAAGTGGCATAATGGCACCAGAACAAGTGGAGAGATATTCATTAGAAGGTTCTTCACGCACATGAAGGGTCCCACGAGAGATTAAAGCAGTGTCCACACATACCGGCTACTGGGCCTAGGCAGATTTGGCAAGAGACCCTGAAGGGAATCCTGAAGCCCTGTGCAGGATGCCCAAAACAGCCACACAGTAAAAAACCACCAAGAATCTAGTTAAAAATAAGGAACAGACAACCAGTGGTTGTCAACTAAGCCGAGCCCAGACTGCAAAACTGGCATGAGCACTGCCAAGGGTAAAGTTGCTTCCCCAAATATGGATATATGAAAGTCAGGAGAGGACACAAAAATTGCAAGTGACATGAGCAAAGTCTTCCGGTGCTCAGTGGTGACAAATTTCAACTGCTAAGATACATTAAAAATAAAGAACTCAAAAGGAGCTGAATATACAAAACACAGGACCACCACCAAATAGAACAAGAATGCTTGAAGGACCTGGGTGTTATAATGTTGGCTGACATATCCTTTAGAGAAAAAAGGTAAATAATGAAAAACCCAGAAAATAATGGGATGGATAGGAGTGGACAACAGAAAAATATGTTGGGTCTGCTAGTGAGATAAAGGTAAGTGTTCTTATGTAATATGATACACAAATAACCCGCACATAAAAGAGAGAAGCTTACGACGACGTTTCGGTCCGACTTGGACCACTGACAGTCACACTAACCAGAAGTGGAGCAGGACAGCTATATATAGCCGTCCTGCTCCACTTCTGGTTAGTGCGACTTTGTCAATGGTCCAAGTAGGACCGAAACGTCGTCGTAAGCTTCTCTCTTTTATGTGCGGGTTATTTGTGTATCGTTCCAGTCACGGTATTGTGCCTTTTTTGTTATTTATGTAATATGAGCATGCTCATTTCAAATCTGAAGTAGAAACTGTTAGAGCATCAGTATCTTTAGTTATTGAGAAACACACAATTTCAAGAATTGTTTATTTATAAATATTACAGTACAGTTTATATAATGAACCATTAAAAACCCCTTATTTTTTTTTAACACTCGGGGCATCTTCCACTGAGGCAGGGTGACCATCATTCACACTATTAAAGTCTTGCCAGAGTCACAAAGATACAGTACAACAGTTTAGAGTGCAGGCACTGTACTTTCCATCACCAGGACTCAAGTCTGGGTAACCAGTTTCCCTGAATCCCTTCATAAATGTTACCTTGTTCACACTCCAACAGCCTGTCAAGTCCCAAAAACCACTTGCCTCCACTCTTATCCAACATGGTCACAGATGTCCAAGCCCCTTGCACACAAAACCACCTGTACCCCCTCTGTCCATCCTTTCCTAGGATGACCCCTAACTTGCCTTCCTTATTATACAGTAACTGCTAAACAATGTTTCAAGAACTTTCAGCAATATTTTCACTAAAAGTAGAAAAATATTTAAAAATGTTTCCAGCATTAAGTTTTACACTGATGACTAACAGTGGCGTCTCTTAAGAAACCAACAGCAGTTTCCCCATCATGTTAGGAGTGAAAAGCCCCCGATAGCATCCCTATATTGTACTGATATCTTGATGAGGAGGAGTATGGAAGAAGTGAATGTTTTCAGATACTTGGGAGTTTGATGTGTCAGCAGATGGATTTATGAAGGATGAGGTTAATCATAGAATTGATGAGGGAAAAAGGTGAGTGGTGCGTTGAGGTATATGTGGAGTCAAAAAACGTTATCTATGGAGGCAAAGAAGGGAATGTATGAAAGTACAGTAGTACCAACACTCTTATATGGCTGTGAAGCTTGGGTGGTAAATGCAGCAGCGAGGAGACGGTTGGAGGCAGTGGAGATGTCCTGTCTAAGGGCAATGTGTCGTGTAAATATTATGCAGAAAATTCGGAGTGTGGAAATTAGGAAAAGGTGTGGAGTTAATAAAAGTATTAGTCAGAGGGCAGAAGAGGGGTTGTTGAGGTGGTTTGGTCATTTAGAGAGAATGGATCAAAATAGAATGACATGGAAAGCATATAAATCTATAGGGGAAGGAAGGCGGGGTAGGGGTCATCCTTGAAAGGGTTGGAGAGAGGGGGTAAAGGAGGTTTTGTGGGCGAGGGGCTTGGACTTCCAGCAAGCGTGCATGAGCGTGTTAGATAGGAGTGAATGGAGACGAATGGTACTTGGGGCCTGACGATCTGTTGGAGTGTGAGCAGGGTAATATTTAGTGAAGGGATTCAGGGAAACCAGTTATTTTCATATAGTCGGACTTGAGTCCTGGAAATGGGAAGTACAATGCCTGCACTTTAAAGGAGGGGTTTGGGATATTGGCAGTTTGGAGGGATATGTTGTGTATCTTTATATGTATATGCTTCTAAACTGTTGTATTCTGAGCACCTCTGCAAAAACAGTGATAATGTGTGAGTGTGGTGGAAGTGTTGAATGATGATGAAAGTATTTTCTTTTTGGGGATTTTCTTTCTTTTTTGGGTCACCCTGCCTCAGTGGGAGACGGCCGACTTGTTGAAAAAAAAAAAAAAAAAAATCTTGAACCCTTCACCATACTCATCACTACGAGCACTAAGGTTGGATGAAGAGCAATAAACATGTGAATGGAGAAAGTGCATTTTCAGGGACATACAGCAACCCAATGCTCTGTACACTTCTATCATGTTTTGCACTAATCTGGCATAATTATCTGCTCAGTGCCTTCCTAGGATATTCTGGGGAACCTGCTTGGAAGCCTCCAATGCAGCCAGTTCCAGTGGGGTCAGTTCTGATAGGAAGACTGGGTTGGATAATAGTTCACATATTAGTGGCCCAACAAGTACTCCAGCCTTAAGTTTTGAGTTAGTTAAAATCCATCCCAAATTTTCCTTAAAGTAAAGAAATCCTGCACTCTGAACATTCACAAAGTTTTTCATTAGTCCCAACTTTGTATGCAATCATGGAAGAAATATTCTTCGAGGATACACAAGTGACATATGTTAAATACTGACTTTTCTTGGAACTGGGTATTTTCGTGCTGGCCATTTTTTGACCATGGAATGGTTAGCATAGTCATGACTATTCCAAACAATGGAAGCACGTGTTTTGTATATTAGCACTATAACTTTTAGGTCCATACATACATTCCAGTTGTGGTCACTGTATTTTGTAGGCTGATTAGAATTTCCATGGGCTTGTACATTTCCTTTAATCCCACAGCATGAGCCACTGACGTGACAGATAGCTTTTCATTACTGCTGTGAAGGAGCACTGCTTTCATACAGACCTTGGTGGAATCAATGAATGTCTCCATTCATCAGAACGGTGTTCATAGCCCAGTTCCTTCATAAGACCATTCACATCAGTGCAAAAACACACAGCATTCTTCATTTGATAAAATACCACCAAACTAGTATAGCATGTTGCTAGATGGTTCCATTCTTGTAAGTGCAATCCAAACAATTCTGTCTTCTGCTTTAATAGGGCAAGGTCCCTGGCCAGATCATTTAATTCCTGTAGTGTGATTAAGTGAGGTTATTTTAAAGTCTCACATTCTGGGGTTCATAAAGATCAGTGCTATTAGTTGTTTCACTACTGTCACATTCAGTGACATAAGCAACAAGTGGAACAGGCATAGGAGTGTCCTCACTATGTAACAGGTTTAAATGCTGACTCACAATCAAGAAACCAACCACATTAACCCTGTAGAAGTCATGCAGGTGATTCTTCAGTTATAGCCACACCACTGGGACTGCAAATGGAACTGATGTAGGTTTCCCATTCAACCGTTGTTTCAGCCCAGCATTATCTTCAGAAAAAGATTCTCCACCATTTCGGAAGAATTTTTTTTTTAAATGTGGACACTGAGTAGTTTTAATTTCAGGGGTGTGAACAGAGAAATGGTTAATAGCACAGCTTAATATAAGAAAATCTTAATAACTAGTGAATGGCAAACAAAATAGATAAAGAGAAAGATAGGTTACATATAAAAATTACTGTACAAATGATCACAGTAATTACTATTTGTAATATACATTTCAATAACTAAATTAACCATATGTATACTAGAATGACATAAATGTTCCAACTAAGAACTAAGAAAAATGCCAGAGGTATACAATCATGCTGTATAATGATAAGTTAAAAGTAAATTAATTTATCAAGTTTTCCAGTTGTGTAAAATTTCACTGTTTCACCTAGTTCCAAGAATGATGAATTGCAAGCTCTTAGAAGTGTAAATCTTGACTAACTCACCTAGTTCCAAGAATGCTGAATTGTAAGCTGTTGTTGTAGGGTTAATCCATTCCACAAAATTCAATCTAGCCTCCTTGGCCAGCAGCCGAACTGTGGCAGACTTTCCACAACCAGCTGGACCCGTCAACAATAAGAATTTCCTTCCCTACAAATTAGACAAATTAAGATATAATAAAATAAAGCAACTCAAATAGCACTTTCAGAAAATAACACAAAATAAAGCAGCTTTTTTCTTTATAATAATAATAATAATAAGTTTATTTCCTAGGTAGTAGGTTGGTAGACAGCAACCGCCCAGGGAGGTACTACCGTCCTGCCAAGCGAGTGTACAACGAAAACATGTAATTGTTTTACATGATGGTAGGATTGCTGGTGTCTTTTGTCTGTCTTATAAACATGCAAGATTTCAGGTAAGTCTTGTTACTTCTACTTGCACTTAGGTCACACCACATATACATGTACAAGCATATATATACACACCCCTCTAGGTATTCTTCTATTTTCTTTCTAGTTCTTGTTCTTGTTTATTTCCTCTTATGTCCATGGGGAAGTGGAACAGAATTCTTCCTCCGTAAGCCATGCATGTTGTAAGAAATAAGTTTATTTCTTTGTAAAGGTTACAATGTGTAATTACAGTTTTGATTTGCTAAGTACAAAGATAGCCACTATCACGCCGAGGCATTTCGGGCAAACTAATCCTAATACATAGTAACTAATTAAAACTAGATAAGATAATAGTACATAGTAATTATTACTTAAAACTAAACATAGAATAGTGGGTAGCTGTTTTACAATCTTATTTGGACTTAATAAATTTTATGTATACTTAGTACAAAATATAATTTACAAGGAATGGTGCAGGTGGTAATATTTTATGGAATGGCAGAATTAAAAGCCAGCAGGTCACATGATAAAACTAGTCGGTAGATGTTTGGTTGATTTGATTAATATTGTGAGATAAGATGATTTTTTTAGCAGGGTCCTAAATTTATAAGTTGTCTGGGGATCCTTGACCTGTTCCGGTAGCGAGTTCCAGATCTTTGGGCCTTTTATATGCAAAGTGTTCTTGCATTGTGAGAGTCTTACTCGAGGGATGTTGAAAAGGGCCTTATGCTTTGTATTGTGACTGCACATTCTGTTGTAACTGTTGAGGAGTAGTTTTAGGGTAGGGTTTACAGTGGAGTTTAAAGTTCTGTATATGCAAGTTGAGTCTTTTGAAAAGTGGTGGGGTGTGCTGTCTAGCACAGGAGCTGATTATCACCCGCAAAGCAGCTTTTTGTTGGATTATTAAGGGTCTAAGGTGGTTAGCTGTGGTTGAGCCCCAGGCACAGATACCATAGGTGAGGTAAGGATATATTAGAGAGTGGCACAGGGTAAGGAGAGTCATTTGTGGTACATAATAGCGTATCTTGGAAAGGATTCTTACTGATTTGGAAATTTTCTTGGCTATGTGATGGGTATGGGACTGAAATTTAAGATTACAGTCAAGGACAAGACCTAGAAATTTGCCCTCCATGTGTCTTGATATAGGGGAACCATTTAACAGTATGTTGAGTTGAATATTTGATGCTCTGTTGCCAAACAGCATGAAGTAAATTTTGTCTATGTTGAATGTGAGTTTGTTGGTCATCATCCACTCATATATCTTTAGCCGTTCATTGTTTACGGTGTTTTCAAGCACAGCTGGGTCTGAATGGGAGTAGACATATGTAGTGTCATCTGCGAATAGAACTAACTGGTGTAAGGAGTTGGGATGCATTGGGGAGATCATTGATGTAGATGAGAAAGAGGAGTGGGCCTAGGACACTACCTTGGGATACTCCTACAGCTACAGGTTGGATAGCACAGTTGACTCCATTTGTATGTACATACTGGTGTCTGTCGTTAAGATAGGATTTTAGGTAGTCAAGATAATGTCCTCTTATGCCGTAATGATTCAGTTTGAGGTGCAAGAGATTGTGGTCAACTGTGTCAAATGCTTTTCTTAGGTCGATAAAGAGCCCCAGGAGATATTCATTCTTATCGAGAGCTGTGTATATTAGGTCAAGCATTTGTATAATAGCATCATTTGTGCTTTTTTTGGGTCTAAATCCAAACTGGCATGGGTTAAGTATATCGTTGGATGTAAGGTAGGAGTAAAGTCGCTTGTGTATTATTTTTTCAAATATCTTGGATAGTAAGGGCAAGTTTGATATGGGTCTGTAATTGTTCAAATCAGTTGGATCTCCACCTTTGTGGATCGGGGTGACCCTTGCTGTCTTGAGTATGGATGGGAAGGTTGAGGAATCTATAGATTTGTTAAACATTGTTGCAATAATGGGCGACAGTTCTGGTGCAGCTTTTTTATGTATGAATGGCGGCAAGTTATCTAGATCACCTGATTTGTTTTTTAATGATTTAATGATGAGAGACTTCAGTGGGATTAGTTGGAGCTAGAAATAGATTATTTGGATAGTTGCCAGTAAGGTACTCGCTCGGATGAGTATTTGAGCTAGGAATTTCACTCGCTAGCTTTGATCCTACAGTAGAAAAGAAGACATTAAATTTGTCGGCCGTGTCTATAGGTTGCACGTGAAGTTCATCTGGTTTAGTTAAGTCTCTCTCTCTATTTCCAGTAGGTTTCCTTGAGCCCAAAATTTGGGAGAGGGTTTGCCAAGTACTTTTCATGTCACCTTTCATTTCACTAAATCTATTTTCATAATACATTTGCTTTGATTTACGTATTAAGTTTTGTTAGTATTGATGTGTATCTTAGTAAATTCTTTAGTAATTAAGCCTAATCCAAACTGCTTTTCAAGTTGGTGTTTTATATTAATAGATTTGAGGATATTTCTAGTTAGCCATGGGCTGTTTAGCCTCTCTTCTGTGATCTGTTTCGTTTTGATTGGGCAATGTTTGTTGTACAGGTTTAGGGTTTATGTAAAAAAAAATTTTGATATCTTTATCGATATTCTTACTGTCATCTAGCTCTCTCTGGCAATCAATGGCACCTAGAGCTAATTTTAGGTTGTTTATCGATGTCTCATCATGCAGGCGAAATGAGATCTTCCTTGTTTCTTGAGGCAGTTTAGGTAAGTTGGTTATGAGGAAGGTAGGATAGTGGTCTGTGGTGCTATCTGTGATTATACCTGCTTGTAGTGGGGATATTATGTTGGTCCAGATATGATCGAGTAACAAGGCACTAGTGTCAGAGATTCTTGTTGGCTTTGTTATAGTGGGTAGCAATAAGCTGTTGTTCATAGCATTTGTGAAATCAACTACTGGAGGGTCGGTTGCTTGGATAAGGTTGATGTTGAAATCTCCTGCTAGTATCAGATGGTGTTCATTCAACTCTGACTCAATTATCATGTTTCTAAGGTTATTGCTAAAAGTTTAAGTGTTTGAGTGTGGTAGTCTGTAGACTGCACCAACTGCTATAGATTTCTTAAGTGTTTTTGATGTAAATTTAGCTATTATATATTCACCATTTTCATCCCGTACATTAGTTGATTTCACACATTCTAGTTCATCAGAGTAATAGATGGCAGTGCCTCCTCCTGACTGGCCGGGCCTACAGTTATGTATGGCTGTGTAACCAGGTATGGTAAATATGTCTGTCAGATCTTGTCTGAGCCAGGTTTCAGTAAGTATAATGAAAGTTATAGTAGCATTTAGAGACTTAAGTAGTGCAATGAGGTCATCATAGTGTTTACTCAACGATCTAACATTGTAGTTGAAGACTGTAATGTTCTTGCTGACACTGAGAAGGGTATCAGCCTGATTAGAAGTGTAGTAATGGCAATTACGGTTTGGACTGTGTGTGCTGTTCAATAAGAGGTTAATATCAGGATCGATGCTTTCATTCATAAGGGGTACATAGAGAAACAGCCGTTACAATTATTAAAGAACAAAAAGACCAAAGCAATGATGTTAAACCACTAACAATTATGAACTTATAAACTAAAATAGTTAAACCACTACCACTTATGAACGAAGATAGTTAATTTAAACAAAATAACACACAGCTTACAAGAAAGACTGTACAGTGGAACCTCCACATGTGAGCGCATCCATGTGCGAGTTTTTCCAAAAACAATCAGCTAACGTTAAATCTGGCTAACGATACATTTTAACGCAAAAATTTTGCCTCAGCTAACGCTAAAAAACTTGCCCAACGTGATTCGTTCGAGACGCGTCCACGTGTGGCCTGAGCGCGCCTCAGTTGTCCTGTGGGTGCCAGTGTTTACAAGCCAGCCAGTGCGGTCGCATCCACGCATACAATCGGAACATTTCATATTATCACAGCATTTTTAGTGATTGTACCTGCAAAATAAGTCACCATGGGCCCCAAGAAAGCTTCTAGTGATAACCCTGCAGGAAAAAGGGTGAGAATTACTATGGATATGAAGAAAGAGAAAATTGCTAAGTACGAAAGTGGAGTGCGTGTCTCGGAGCTGGCCAGGTTGTATACCAAACCCCAATCAACCATCGCTACTATCATGGCCAAGAAAACGACAATCAAGGAAGCAGTTCTTGCAAAAGGTGCAACTTTGTTTTCGAATAAGAGATCGCAAGTGATAGATGATGTTGAGAGACTGTTATTGGTGTCGATAAACGAAAAACAGATAGGAGATAGCATCTCTCAAGCGATCATATGTGAAAAGGCTAGGAAGTTGCATGAGGATTTAATTAGAAAAATGCCTGCAAAGTGAAGCTTTTATTGGTGCATCGCTCTGAAACTCCCAGTGTGTTCAGGAGAAACAATGTCCTCAAGGCTAATTTGTGTGTGATGTGGAGGGCAAACAGTAAGGCATGGGTCACTAGAGACCTTTTCTATGACTGGTTACACCATGCATTTGCCCCCACTGTGAAAAATTACCTCCTGGAAAATAAATTGGACCTTAAGTGCCTCCTGGTATTAGACAATGCTCCTGGTCATCCTTCAAAAGTGCTTTGTAGTGACCACAGAAACTCGATTGACTCTAAGAGAGTTTTGGAGAGATCACTTTAGCATCCTCAGTTGTGTAAACATTATAGGTAAGGCTTGGGAGGGAGTGACTAAGAGGACCTTGAACTCTGCTTGGAAGAAACTGTGGCCAGAATGTGTAGACAAAAGGGATTTTGAAGGATTTGAGGCTAACCCTGAGAAGTGTATGCCAGTTGTGG